GTTCCTTAACAGCAACCCAGACAGCCTCACTTTGAATCAAAGGCTTTTTGCTGCTTAGTTGCAGATTGCATCGAGAAAACCCTAGCAGCTGCACGTCGAAGCCCTTGTCCTGCCAGAGGGCCCACGTGATCGTGCTCAGAAAAAACAGGCAAGTCAAGGTGGTCAATCAAGCTAACGGCCATGCGGCCATGCTGCTGCAGACGCTGCAGCTGACAATCTGCTAATCTGCATGATGGACAGATGCTGCAATTTTCGTGCAAGGGAGATCAAAGGTCGACCGAGCTACAACTCATCGACTGCTACACCTGCAGAAAGAAAAATGTGAAACATGAACAGGTGACTGCAGCTGTCCAGAAAGCGACGTGCGTTGCACACGGAGCCTGCCAGCAAGCATTCTTGCAGATTGCTTTTTTGCAATGCTGGTGGATGCTTGCTGTTGGAGGCACTAGGGCAAAATCCAGTTTCAAACAAAATCTGCAATGTGTCGCGGCTGCAGAAGGCTAAGGGGTTCTTGGTCTTCAAGGTTTGTTTAGCGTTGTGCTATAAATCTACACTCCTAGTATCACCTTCATNNGGATTATAGGGGTTATAGTCTGAACTCCTAGTATCTTCCTTTAAGAACCCCTATAATACTCCCCTATATGATCCACTACATAAGGCCCCTTTAAGGAGTTTAGACTGTAAACCCCAAACCCTAAACCTAGTTGTAGAGTAGAGCGAGTGCCGACCTGAACGTTTTTGGCCGTGCTTGCAGTGTGCGATGCGCGTGTCTAAATCCTAAACCTTAAGACCGGAAAAAAAACCTTCAAACCCTAAAACCAAAAACCCTAAACCTTTTAAGGAGTTCAGGCTATAGCTCAATTCAGGCCAAGGGCACCCAGTGCCTCGGGAACCTTCGGGCTCCAAAGCGCTGAAGCATGAAACGCCGAGTTTTGGCAGCCTTGGCACGCCCGATACCTGCACCACCCGAGGAAGAAGGCAAGGCTTAAGGTTAAGGGTTTAGGGTTTGGGGTTTAGGGCTTAGGGATCAAGACCTGCACATGAGCTATATAGTCTAAACTCCTTAAAGGGGATTAGAAAGGGGAGTATATAGGGGACTACTATAGGGTATAGCGGGGGGGATGCTGGGAGTTTAGACTATGGCTTATATGGAGAGTAGCAAAAGTAGTTACAATCGTGATAGTCATTGTGATAGTGAGAGGAATAGTTGTTGTATCGAATTGGAAGAGTAATAGTGGTAGTAATGGTAAAGGCAATGGCAAAAGCAACATCAGCAGCAACAGCAAGAGCAGTAGTAATAGCAAAAGGGATAGAAGCAATAATCGGTATATTTTCTCATGAGGATAGTATCGGAAGTACGAATTGCAATAATGATGAGAGTTCTCAAGGAAGTGCTGGGGTTCAGGTCCAAAGGCTGTCAGGTGTGCATTGCTTCGGTCATCCGGCTTTAAAATGTACTGGTAACCCCTTCTATTTGCTTTTCTAGGAGCCGGAAGCCGTACGAACCATTGTATAAAATACAGTACCCGTGTGCATCACTTTGTCCACTGTGGGTAGTATCTCTAAACGCTAGACTACCCAACTTCTACATCTGGTTCTTGGTCTTGGACCCCCTAAAGGTTCCAAAAAGGGGAACCCCTTAATAATCCCCGTTCCCCATAGTAATGGAACCATTCTTTGGGGGGTTCCATTTTTGGGATCCTTTAGGGGGTCTGGGTTTTTGGCTGCTTGAAGACGCAGAGACCCGTACTTCAGCATTGCAGCCGCGGCGACCGCAACAAGTTCAAAGCTTCCTCGCCTCGGTATACACAGGTTTGTTACCCCAATGGCCCTTTGTAGAGCCATAGCCTAAACTCCTTAAAGGGTTTAGGGTTTTAGGGTTTAGGGATGTAGCATGAGGTCATCAGGCCTTATCTTCTTAGCAAAGGCTTAGGGTTGAGGGTTAAGGGGGATTTTGGTAACCCCAACCCCCAACATAAAGACCCTAGAACTATCATATGACTGACTAAGCTAAGGTCCTCATATTAGTGGTTGGGGTAACTAAAATCCCCTTGTTGTTATTATTTCTATATTTAGGGTTTAGGGTTTAGGGCTGGTTATATAATGGACTACTATAGAGCTCTTAAGGGAGATGCTAGGAGTTGAGACTATAGCTCATCTGTATGTCAGGCAGGAAGGGTTTCATCATCATAGCTGAGTTGGGGTAAGTGTATAGGTTTTTTTGTTTGAAAGGACCTAAGCCAATTTGAGGTAGGGTTTCATCATTATGGCTGGGTTGGGGAAGGTGTATATGTTTTGTTGCTTCTTAGGACCTAAGCCAATGTGAGGTAGGGTTTAATCATTATGGGGGAGACCACAAAATGAAGCTGCTACCATGGCCTGATTGCATGAATGCCTTCGCAATGATTTTTTGGTGTGATTCGCAAAATGTGAAAAAAAGTACTTGTAACGCGTATCTGATATCTATAGTATCGTCAGTTTTGCTGGGGGTCCAAGCCCTTGAAGCCTGAAACCTAAACTCTCGGAGTTCAAAGCATTCGCCAGAACGACCGGCAGGCGTCCAACAGATGTACTACAAGAAAGTGGAGAAGCCGGGAACTGAAGTGCCATGAAATTTGCGGTTTTATGGTTGTGGATTTTAGGATTTAGGGCTTCATCGAGGTTTTCCAGCTTCAGCTTCAACCGTCCTGGGAAGAACTGCGATCACTGGCCATGAATAGGGAAATGTGGAGAGAAGCATCCGATAAAGTGGTGCAGATTACTGAAAACAATCTGCACTTTGCCAAACCAGATTCCTCCTGGGGATCATGGCGTCATCCGCTTGTACATGCAGCAAAGTGGGCTCTGTGTATCTACCTTCATGTCGTTCACGATGGTGATCTTGCTGTCTGCACTGCAAATTGGCTGGATGAACAGGAGGGTTGACAGTCCTTCACTCTGCAAGTAAGCATGCTTGGGGATTTCGTGCCTTTGCTGGTGGGTTACTTTCGAATGATGGGAAATTGGCTTGTGTTTCAGCTTCTGATGTGCGAGAGTGCTATGCAAACTTGTGAAACCGAGTTGTATTTATGTTGCAAAAGTATCTTTGACTCCTTCGAGAAAATTGTTGTGTTTTGCCTGATGCCTGGATGACAAAAGTCATGGAGCGCGCTATGTGAGCCACGAGTGCTTGCATAAGCGCCCGGGCGGGCAAGTTGGGCTGGTACTTGAGACCTACTGCAAAAAGGGCTTCATCATCATGACGTCCGACAAAGATTTGCGGAGGGGTGCGTCCTCTGGCAGAAGTGTATCGCAATAGTACGGCTGCATGTTGCACAGTAGGTCATATGGTAGTTTCCCAAAATAGGGGGACCCCAAGATTATGAAGGGATTATCATGGCGAATCCTCGGTAAGCACCACTAATACTGTACCTGGTAGTGTACCCTACAAGGTGATGAGGACTGCGGCAGAATGATCATGCAGAAGCAGTTGGGCCAACAACCTTTTCAAAGGTTTCAGCTGGATTCATACTAAGCAACCCTAAACCCTAAACCCAAATCACTTACCCGCAGCTCTGATTGCTCCGGCGCAGGGCCGACGAGCTGGTGGGGCTCCACCACAGCAACCTGACTCAACTATACTGTACCTGCGAGACCCTTTGGAGCACCAGGGTGCAGGTTTAGGTCCGAGTTCAGGGTTTAGGGTTGTTGTTAGTGAGTTTGGTTTAGGGTTTGAGGACAAGACCCCAGGTATAGTTGGGGGTAAATGGGGGCCTTCCTTTGGACAGTTTTTGTTGCTCCTGGTTGGGCGGTCTCATGGGTAAACCACGGCAGACTAGACCTCCTGTGCTACACTACCCCCTAAACCGGGTGTAGGGTTTAGGCGTTTATAAGGGTTTAGGGTCAATCCCCTCAATAGTAGTAGCCCCCGAACATTCCTTCAATGGGTCTGTAGTATACCTACGCTAAGTGTCCTTTGTGGTTCCCATTACTGGGTGGGGGGTATTGACCTAAACAATACTCCCGATTTCGGCACCACGACTCTGAATAACGGGAACCTTGCAGAGCGTAATGTACGGGCCTAAATAATTACCAATATTATGGTTCCATCGCCATCCATCGCTGCCTCGCCCTGCCGTTGAGTCCGGTCGATCTCATCTGGTTTCGGTGATCCCGTCAACTGCTTGCTTCCGAAAGTTGAGTCCCGATGTCCTGTTTGGCTCTTCTGACACGCTCAATTCCATGCCGCCAGGTGTACATGGTAGTTTCCATAAATAGCCCCCTATTATAGACCCCAATATACTATACTCCTCATTATTGGGACACCCAAAAAGGTACCCCTACTTTTGGGAAATCCCCACATAGCCATGAAGTCCTAAGATGACCAAGAAGTGACCTTACCCCGGAGCCCCTTCTCGTCCGCTTAGCTTGCACCAGTCATTCATGGCCGGGCACTCTTTTTCTCACAAGTGCATCCGCAGGGCTAGACCACGAATACCTTAGGTGGACCCCCCACCCAGTAATAGTGGCTATAAGGGATTATATGAGGTTCCTCTCATAATCCTATTATACCACTATTACAGGGTGGGGGGTCCTCCTAGTGAATACCAGACTTGGAAAACCCAATCTATCTCCTGAGTCATCCAGCGGCAAAGTCGTGCTGCCGTTTCGCTGAATTGCATAGACTTTATTCGAAGGTCCATAGGACCTAGCAACTATTCTGAACTGGGGCTTCACGCGAGCTGGTAAAACGGTAGCCCCAAAATAGCGAGTCCCCAACATAAACCCTAGAATATTCTCATCCTAAGTATAGCTACCCCAAAAATCGTACCCTTAATTTTGAGAACCCGCCAAATGAACCTCCAAGTTCACTCAGGTGCTGCTGGAAGAGGTGGCTGGGACTTCTGGATTGGCGTGCAGAAAGGCTTGGAGGGTTTTGGGCTTAGGGTTTAGGGCGGAGGGATCATGCTGAGCTTTCCTATACCTTTGCTGTGGAGAAGCCTAAACCCTAAATCCGAAACCAGTATCTCCAAGTCACGACATGCCCTAAACCCTAAACCCTAAACCCTTAACCCCTCTACCCGCCATAATCCCTGAACCATGCTTAGGGGGGTAAGTAGGGAATAAGGGGAGACAGTATGTAGGCATCCTATGGAGGTTTCCCAAAACTAGGGGTTATAGGGTTATATACCTACTATAATGGAGAATCAAATGGAAAAGAAAATGGAAAATGAAATGGAAACTGGGATTAT